CGATCAGAATGCTGATGTGCAATGCTAGGTTGTAGGAAGTGAAAGGTAGAATACTGTACATGAAAATTTGGGTTGTATTGTGGAAGGAACACCATAGCCTGGGCTTCATTAAGTGGAGTGTTTAAACATCAGTACAAGATACATTCCACAAAAGTACTAGATATAAGAATACTTCAGCTTTGTTACTATTTTTAAGGTAATGTGCATTTATTTATGGATTTGTTTGTATACCCCTTTTAGTTTTAAACCCGACTAGCAGAAAGCCTGGTAAGACAGCGAGGAAGAAATATTGACAATGAATGTGAGTGTCAGTGTTGCCATTAATCACAGCCATCTAGTGCCTTTGTAGGAATGGACAGGTATTAGTAGGGGGGGGGGGCGTGTCTTGAAAGATTTATTGATTTTATGTATGCCAAGACTGGCTGTCATGTGGTTTGGGAAGAGTTTGTTTGACCACAGGGTAAACAACACTATAAAAGTGCTTGAAATTACCATTTCTCCAGTAGTCTACTTTTTCTGCAGGGTCCAAAAGTATGTAAAGGAGAGCCCAGTGGAGAAGGAACAAGCCAAGGTGGTCCACTGACTAAGAAACATGCAGCTGACAAGAAAATCACAGCTGATCGCAAAAAGTTATTAAAAGATAAAAAACGGACATTAAAAAGATTATGAGCAGAGTAATGTGTGTCATCACCTTGAAGTGCAAAAACATGTGGGTATCCATTAGTGATATCTCCTTCTTTCCCTCTCAGGCTCTGGCTTCGATTCTCCTGGTATATACAGTATATGGCGGATGTAAACTTCAGTCATCTTTTTGGATCAACAACACTTTGCCATACTAATATACTTGAGACTTTGTACCTTTGTATTTTTACAAATATATTTTGAGCCTTTTCCCTTTTTTTCTATAATTATTATTGTAATGTAGAAAGAAATGTCTTGTTTTGGGAGGTATTTAAATAATGTTACCCTGCCTTCTGATAAACTGATGTGAGGCTTATTTTAAGGTCATGGTTGGATTGATAATTCCAAGCAATAAAATTGCTGTTGGAGTGCAGTCCATGGTTTTTAACCTGGTGGTATTTATGTGTGACAGAATCCTCAGCAGACTCCTTTGAAGATATATAACAGAAGTGTCATAGTTTATATTTGTATACCAGGATGTCTGATATTCAGATTTATGGCATGAATTAATTGCTGACAATAATGTGAAATGGTCTTTCTGTAGGTTAAGTAATGATAAGCTTGTTTGTATTTAAATAATGGGAACATTTTGGTATCAAGCCTTTCATTGATGGGTCAGATGGGCTCCAGTTCTCTTTAACCCAAGCTTAACCATTCAGATTGGGCACCAGTCCAATTGGTCGTCAATCCTATTGGTTAGAATAGAAAAGGCTGGGGTCTGTTGAGATTGGAGCCTGTTTAACCTACAACCAATTTTCTTCATATTTGCAGACACTTAATCAGTTTGACTATATAATTCACAAGATTAATGTATAAATTTTTTTTTTTACCGTAAAATACAGTCCTGTTAAGGTTTTGCAGTTTTAGTGGTATTAATTCCTGTACTGTACTGGGGTATGGTAACTACTTTAACTGGCCTTGAAATTCAAGAAAAGAACTTAAAGGTGAAAACAGAGGAGGGACACAGGACAATGGCCATGAGGGTGTATTTTTGTGAGTTGTATCACAGCCAGTCAAAGAGAAACAATGGCCATGTCTACTGTGAATTTCCAAACCTGCATTAACCTTTTAGTCACTGGAGTGGGGGGCTTCAGGTGAATCTATGCTGATAGAAGAATTAAATACAAATCCTTCATTGTAACTGCCTTTTTGTTTTTTATATACACCTAGTTAGACACTGAACCAATATTTGTTTAATGAGATTCTGGGGAAAGTGGATATGGATGCAGTCTATTACCAGATGCTTGATTTTATAAGCCTATAGCTTGCATATATATTTTGTTAAATATTTCAACATGGAGTGTATAGTGTTAAATTAAAGTGTAAAAGAAAACTGAAACTTATTCCTTTATGTGGGCCCCAAATTTATTATACATGTAAGGGATATACAGTATATATCCAGTCTTCCATATCCTTGGTCTTTCCCTCCCTCCCACTAACAACCTTTGAATTATCCTCCTCCTCCTCTTTAATATATCCTCCCAAATTGAATAAATCCTGATCTGTTTTCTGCTTGGTGGTACAGGGGTACTTTGACATCTTATTTCTGTAGTGTATTTCTTATTTTATGTACCCTGCATTACTCATAAGAATGGCATCTCTGTCGCTTTGAATTTGCTTCTTCCATTTGCTCCCAGAATCCATACTTGACGGTCACATAATGGCAACTCAACAATTTCCCTGTGTATCCCTGACTTTCCTGTCTTTGATTGTTACCTTACTCAGCCTTCTGCTATTCTGGTTCATTTTATCACTTCCATTTTGCAGACATTAATTATCCACATTACTCAATTTCCTGCATTCTTTCTCGGTTCAAACTAACATATCAGTCTTTTGTTCACATTCACTGTACGTGTACACACATTTCCTAGCTCATCTCTTATTTGCAGCCTGTCATTATTCTCCAAAAATTACATCCCATTCCCTCATTTGCTTTCACCTCTCACTAACATGAGTGTACAGTATTAGACAACCATAGAGACATTACTTACTGTTGATAGTTTTTAATTTTGTTGGAAACCAGATTCGTTCTTACTTACAAACTCTTGATGCGTGCTTCACTACAAAAAAAAAATTAATTTTATACATAAATGCCATGATCATGATCTTACCTTTTTTCAGGAACTTGTTCATTTTATGCAAACCCTTGATCCACTCATCTCTCCCTTTTCAGAACCCACATTTCTTTTTGTACCATATTAAACTACACTTCCCTTATAATGTATACTCAAAGAACTTGTTCCTGTATAATTTTTACATTTATATTTACCACATTTTCCTTTATTTAGGGGAAATGGCACATGCTCTGTCATTCCTCTGGTGTTCTTGTCAGTTTGTCATCCATTTTCAATTTCATTCCGTGTCCTTAACATTTCAATGATGATTTGATGCATTCCTAGTGACGTAACATTCTTGAGCTTGCTTACTAGCCACTCGCCTTTTACTGGTTACTTTAGCCTCTAATGCTTTACAATCTCCAAATTTCCATCAGAAGATCTCCATAGTCTTTCATCTGTGACGTACTAGTTGCTTAAACTTTTCTTCCAAATAATAATAATTGATATTCAGTCAATCTGACAAAATCATGAAATGCTTGTTTCTGGTGGAGTTCTTACGCTAGCAGCATCTGGTGTTCTTAGGGCCAGGCGGTCACCCATCCAAGTACTAACCAGACTCGACATTGCTTAACTTATGCTGATTGGACAAGAAGTGGGAGTTTTAAATGTACTGACATAATAACCCTTTTACTTTTTTCCACAACATATCACCTCATTTGTTCACTTGGTAATTTACCATTTAGTGCACATCAAACTAGCTTTGTAATCTCTAAAACAGTGATAATCTTTCTCATCATTCATTAACCCCCCTTTTTTCATAATCTCTTCCTATCTCTGTGAGTGTGCTTATTATTCTTTTTATTTACAGCTGTTGCTCTAGTGCCCTCTTCCTTAACCCTTGAAGGAATTCCAGACACACCATGCAACATCAGGTCCAGAGTGAGAAAGCTGAAAATGTTTGGTGCTAGCATTCATACTTTTGATTTTAATGTTTTACACTCAAATCATGTAGCAGTGCACAACCAGTAGTTATTGCCCACTGTGCATTTCAACCCAGAAGTTCAGTTTATTACTTCACTTTTCATCCTTGCTTACACACTTGTGCCACATGCTGTTGATGTTTCCAAGGTGTGAAATATTTTCTGAAGTTGCTGTTTTCATATTTTTCTTATATTATTTCACTTTTTTTCTTTTTTTAAGGTGGCAACTATGACTGTTTTCTGTGGCATTTGAATGACAGGTAGCAGATGGAAAGAAAGTAATATGTGCTGTGGGATACTGTATGTATTGAGAGAGACTGGTACAGTATAAAAGAAGGGAGAGATAGGGTTGTACTGTACAAGGGAATCATCAAGTCTATACTATTATATGTGGGTGTGAGGTATGAATTTAGATGCAAGAGGAAGGAACAAATTAGAAAAGAAATGATGTGGTTGTGATCAATATTTGGGATAAATAGGATGCACTAAATGAGTAGAAAAGAGGACGAGATACGGAAGTGGTAAGTGCTGGGTAGAGGACAGTTTTGGGTCTATTTGGTTGGCATGGATATACCTACTGTATACTGGTATAGATTGGGAGTAAAAAGAGTGTAGAAATTCAGAGGTAGATGGTAGGGAAAAAGGAAGACCAAGAAGATGGAAGGATGCACTAGGTTGTAAGGGGTGGACAAAACATGAGGTAGTTATTTTTTGTATGTGGATGAGATGTTAGCCTTTATGAAGTGATGAGAAAATCAGTGAATGTTGGATTTTTTTTTTTTCTTTTGCACAGCAGAACACAGGTATTACTTAAGTGACAATATAGGGTGAGTCTGTGTGTGTATTTTCTCTTGATTCTGGATGTGCTGTCTTAAATAATTGTATAGTGATAAATTATGAACTTTTTGCATTTGTGTCTATCAAAAATATGTACAATATTATGTAAACGGAATTGAAAACGAGTGGATGTGGGAGTATATTGTCACTACTGACAAGTTACTGGGAATATGAGTGGAATGTCATGTCAGTTTTGTTCACTTATTTATATCTCCAGAATTTAGTTACGGTATACCAATTTGTCAGTCGTCCAGCTTTAGTGGCTGGTCATCTCCCTCCACATTGATAAGTTATCCCCCATTGGTCAATATTCCATAATATTGATCTTTTACAGTTGTGGGTGTGTGTAGGAATTTGTCTTCCCACTGATCTTTCCTGCCAGTGTTTGGTACATGTCAGTTTTTCTCCCAGAATGAGGATGTTCCTGAGGAATAATGAAACATACTTGTGTATGACTTTTTATTATTTTCTATTATACGTGTTTAATACTGTAGTACACTGTCATATTGACCCAGTCACTTTTCAGCCTACATGTGTTGGTAACTAAATAAAGCGCTCAATCATGCACTCTGTAAAACAAATATATTAATGGTAAACAATGCAAAATGAGAAATTAAATGGCAGTAGGGTTTTGTTTTACTATCTAAATATATAATATAACTGATCTGTTAACGAGATTTTTTTCAACTAACAACGGTAATATTAAATTATGTTAAGTGTGTTATCTGTCGACCAACTCACCCATATACTTTTTGGCATGTACGCCTACAAACGACCTTGAAAAAAGAATTATTTTATCCTCATAATTCATATTTATAAATTAGTAAAAAAAATTTAATTCTATGTAATTATTCACTATACTGTATGCAGATGAGAGGAGGAGAGCGAACAAGTGGTAGCAGCAACCAGTCCTGCAGCTCACCACCAGCAACAACTTGGGAACTGTTGTCATGACATAAACAAGCAGAGTTCAACACCATTTTTCTTCCTTGACTGCTGAATCTACCTACATTTCTTTTACTACTGCGTTAATCAGTAGCCTGTATGTTTGTGCGACTGCAGAGGTTTTCAGGAAATAACATGTTTTTTTTATGATAAAAATTAATTTGGATAAAAAATTCAAGTCATGTCAGACACAATACACAGCATAAATGGGCAAACGGTAATTACGTTACCTGAACAGTACTTAAATTTTTGGGGAAAATTTCCTGTACCTTTCTTTAGTGGAAAATATCTTTTTTGATCCCATATCACTGTCCACAGTTCACCCTGAATATACAACCTGGATGTAGGCACATTTACAGAGCACATAGCTAGGACCCAAGGAGCTGCAGGGCTTTCTTATCACTAGATTCTTGTAGTTTTCATGTCCCTGGGAGTGTTGAAGCATTACTGGCTGCCTGAAACTTTGGTATTTGAGTTCTACCACTGGCTGGCTCCCTAAGGCTACCATGACCCAAGGCTGCTTTTCCACCTATTTCAGTACTTGCAACTTTTGTGTCAAAGATCCACTATTCCATTGACATCCAGGACCAGTTTCTTAGAGGTTTATTTCTCCAAAGACTTTCTAACAATACTACGTTAAAAATGTTCAATTTTTCACACACTAAACGTCCAAAAGGTTTACTCTTCTGCTGACTTTCTGACACTACTGTACAGTATTACTATACACTGTACTGTACTACTTCCATAAGGTTTATTCTTCCACAGATTTTCTGACTGTTTAATCCAAAAGGTTTACTCTTTCATTGACACAGAGTATTTTGTCCAAGGCTTGCTCTTTCACTCACTTCCTGAGACTGGTATCTCTACCATTGGCTACCTGAGGTTATTGTGTGTCGGAATTTGTCCACTGTCGACTCGTAAACTTTGAGGTCCTCTTGACGCATACGTAGGAGAAGGTCAATATGTTGCCGCAGGAGCTCGATTTCCTCCCTGGCCATATCCACTCTGTTAAGGTAAAAAAGACCACTGTTAGGTATCAGCAAGTCGACTTGCCTGCTGGTGAGGTTCACTTGGCGTTTTGTATATTGACTTTCCAGGGAAGAAATATAAGAGGGCATTTAAGTCCTCATAACTGAAAACTTTAATTCTAAAAAAAAAATTTCTTCAGTTGTCCTACTACAATATTGTGGATGAATTATTAATTTTATTTTGATATCCATCTTAATGCTCCAGATCAAAATAGGGAAATACAGTATAGTATACCAATCACTTTTGTGCTTCTGTTTATCCAATTGGGTCTACTCAAACTACAGACAAGTGTAAAGCATATTATGAATGTTCAATACTGTAGTGTGAAAGCTGTCATCTCCATATTTAAGATTACCTGAATACTGAATACCACTCAGGATTTAATTTAGAGGGAATGGTGTTTAACTTAGAATGGGAGAGAGGAGGAACAATTGTTATTCAAACTGGTCTTGTAGGTAAGATTAAGTGGTGGGGCATTCACGTAAGACCAATAGTGTATATCTTGATTTTTTAACCCATGCGATATTTAGAGTAAGTGAGAAGCTGCAGTTGGGTAGACTCACTTGTTCCTGAGGAGGTTCTCAGTGGCAGCATCACCCCAGGCCATGAGTGAGGGCCCATGTCTTCTGCTGCCTCCTTCACCACTGTGCCGTGGCGACCTGCTGCTTCGCCACCCACCTCCCTCACCTGTGATGTGGCCAGTGTGGAAGATGACTCAAGGAGAGAGTAGTAGGTAGGTTATGGGGAAAAGGGGAGTATAAGGGATGTCAAACCTAACAAAGATATGGCGAAAATTACTTATACCAATCTGAAGATCAGGTTAATGTTTGCAGTTTGTGGACGAGTAACAAATGTTATTCTAAATTATTACAACAGTGCATGAGGATATTTTATAATTGTGCTGGCAAGTTGTAGCATAAAAGAAATTTCCAATGTGATTTACGTAATTCAAGATGGAAATATTTTTATTTGTAGTACTGTAACTTAATTCTTGAAATGGGGAACAGATGTAATAATGGTATGAACAGAGTTTAGTGGAGATACATGACACCAGGTAAGAGTATATGTTGAGAACTTATAAAAAGAAAAACAGTGTTAAAGGTAATTACAGTACAGTACTACAAAGTTATGACTGCAGGGGTTTATAAACTAATCAAAGTTTATTTTTTGACCAGAAAGGACAAAAAAAAATATTTAATGATTATTAATTCTAGAGTCCATCTTCTTGCTTGGAATAAGGTACTTCCTCATTTTTTTACAGTATTATATTTTATTCTCTTCACAACTTTTACCAGTGTATTCACTAGAGCAAACTGGTTTCTGTGTTTTAATACAGTATACAATACCAGAGTCCCTACAAAGGTTTGGGGTTAATGGCACCAACAAATTTACCTTATCAAAAGTTTATCATCTGTGTTTCACTCATTACCCACACCTCCCATATACTATACTACCAAAAGTGTTCTTACAATGGGGTATATTTGAGGACTGCACAAGCAAGCATGGAGAAGTGTCCTTCACATACTTTACGAGGTCATGTGGTGACCATCTTAGGGTACTCCATCACTTCCTGGTACTCTTGTTAACATATTATTTTAGCAATTGTTCAAATTATTATTACAGTAAATGTTGTGCTGTTAAATGGCATTTCTTTCCTAGAAAGGTTGTACAAAAAATCATCATCAAATTCTATCATTTTATGGTCTTAAATTTCAGATTGTATTTTTGGCTAAATTGGGGAAGGTTGAATTTGTTAATTTTACCTTCTGAAATAAATAAGTTCCTCACAATGCAGGAGCCACAATGAACAAGAACAACAATACTGATAAACACCAGCAACAGTGGAATGTTACCTGGGTTGAGGCTGGATTCTAGGGAGCGACGTTCCAAGCATCTCTCCATGATGGCTGCTCGCTGATGCTCCTCCCTCAGTCTTGCCTCTGCCTCTAGCATTCTCCCACTGAGCTCTGTCAGCCTAACACACACACGAGGATACATTATTATAGGGTAATAAAATGATGGTAAAATATAAAAGGGATTTAACATGGATATAAGATGATACATTAACACACACACACACACACACACATACAGTATATATATATATATACAGTATATATATATATATATATATATATATATATATATATATATATATATATATATATATATATATATATATATATATATATATATATATATATACTGCATAGCATGAAAGAGATGCATTAACAGGAATATAACATAGTGATGCAGTAATATAGGGATATAACATGATATAGTGACAGAAGTGCAGGGATATAACAGGATCTAGGAACACTAATACAGGGCTGTAACATGATAGTAACAAGGATATAACATGATATAATGACAGTAATACAGGGATGTAACATGATAGGGTAACAACAATGCAGGGATAAAACAGTGACAGTAATACAGGGATATAACATGGTATAGTGACATGGGGATATAACATGATATAGTGACGGGGGTATAACATGGTATAGTGATGGATATAACAAGGTACAGTGACGGATATAAATGGTATAGTGACGAATATAGCATGATATATTGACAGGAATATAACATGATATAGTGACATGGGGATGTAACATGATATAGTGATAGGGATATAGTGACAATAATACATAGATGTAATATGATATAGTGACACATGGATATAACATGATATAGTTACAGGGATATAACATATAGTGACGGATATAACGTGATATAGTGACAGAAATTTATCATGATATAGTGACACGAATACAACATGTAGTGACACGGATATAAAGTAATACAGTGACAGTAATACAGAAATGTAACATTATATTGTGACGGATATAACGTGATACAGGGATATAACATGATATAGTGCCAGGGATATAACGTGATATAGTGACAGGAATGTAACGTGATATAGTGACGGATTTAATGTGGGATAGTGACGGGTACAGAGATGTAACATGATATAGTGACAGGAATATAACATGATATACTGACACATGGATATAGCATGATAGTAACATGGGATATGACACGATATTTGTGACACATGGATGTAACATGATATAGTGACAGGGATATAACATGAAATAATGACACGGGGATATAACATGGTATAGTGATACAGGGATATACCATGATATAGTGATATAACGTGATATAGTGACGGATATAACGTTATATTGTGACGGATAGAGATGTAACATGATATAGTGACATAAGGGTGTAACATGGTATAATGACACGGGGGTATAACATGATATAGTGACACGGGGGTATAACATGATATAGTGACATGGGGATATAACATGATATAGTGACAGGGATGTAACATGATATAATGACACGGGGATATAACATGATATAATGACACGAGGATATAACATGATATAGTGACACAGGTACATAACATGATATAGTGACACAGGTATATAACATGGTATAGTGACATCCATACAAGGATATAATGGGAGAGTGATACATTACATTATTACAGTGATAGCAGTAGCGGAGTTGCCTGTTTTACCTAAAGTTGAGGAGATGGACCAGTTGCCTCAGCTTGTCTACCTCGACGTGGGCAGCCTGAGCGAGGGCCTGGTACTGACACCCAGCGCTGCTACTTCCTCCACCACCACTGCTACCGTTGCCAACGCCACCACCACACCACCGCCTCGACCCGTCCTCATCAGAGTCACACATGTCCTGGTGACGCTGGGACATCAACATGAGTGAGAAACATGTACAGACACTTACAAAATGTTCGTCCGTCCGTATGTTCATAGCGGCCCACTAATATATACATGGTAGTCAGCTGCTGCATTTATGGCCACTACACCTTCCTCTCACGTGTCTCGTATTTCTTGCAATTTTGCCTGCACTTCATTACCAAACCCCTAACTCTGTCATCACCCCCCCCCTCCAGCCCTCTCCCCTAAGGGCCCCAATCCTTATAGACCCTGACCTAACTTAACCATAATGGTCCAATGGGCCCTATTTCAAATGAATAAGTTAGGGTGGATTGAGTTTGGATAGGTAACGGTAGGGCCTACTATATTAGGTTAGGTTAGTTAAGGGCCTATTAGGAATCGTGTTCATGGGACTTGCAACCTGTGCCTCAGCATCTCACCTGGTCCTTGCGAGAGTTCCTGACGGCGTGGCGGTAGAAGTTGCCTCTCTGGCCCACACTGGCTGACCTCCTAAGACTGCCCCCACATCCTAGTGACCTGGCCGGTGATCTGTCCAGACTGCTGTTGAGGGAGAACCACACCTCGGGTTAGGTCAGGTCAGTGAGCCTCCTTGGTTATGTGCTCTCTCTTATGATCACCCTCTTTCTCTCTCTTATCATCTCTGCCTTCTCCCTCTCTTATAATCTCTGCCCTCTATCTCTTTGCCCCTCTCATCATCTCTGACCCTCTCTCGTCACTTCTGCCCCCTCCCCTTCAGCCTATTTAACTTGTTCGTTATTATGGTTTAAACAATCACATTTATTTTGACATAAAATTTGAAAATTCTCTTATGAAATTATAACGTTTATGCTGACAAGGAAGACTTTTATTATATTTCTGTTTATGAAGGTGTTTACATATATTATCAGCTTTATTTTGATCTTAAAGACATGACACATACTTCTCCCTCATTATAAGGTCAATAGGCTCCAGCTTGAGTATTTCCTGGATCTTGACCTCCATGTCATTGATCTTGGTGGACAAGACTCCAACCGTCGGGTTCTGGAGGCTGGTGCCATGGCTTCTCAGGACTGGGGATTCATTCTCATTCTCCGTGTCTTGTTTCTCCGGTTCTTTTGATTCCTTAAACAAGCTAAATGAACCTTTTCTCCAGTGTTTTGAGTCTTTCTTGTGTTTACTCGCCGTGTTTCGTAAAGGCTTGAGGTTCCAATGTTTTCTTTCCTTGGGGAGGATATCACTCGCTGGGCTGGGGATCTCGGCTTCGTCGTCCTGAACCCTAGCTGGACTCTGTCTCGGGGACTTGGTATTGTTATTGAGCTGATCCCTCGCTCTTGAAGAACTTCTCTGTACCTTGAAACTTTTAGGCGAGTTTGGCATCCTGAGATCTGAGATGAGTTTACTGTTCTCATTGATGATTGTGGCCGAGTCCCCCTCCTCCCTCACCACCCCAGTGGGACGATTTTGTTCGTAGTTCTGGATGTACTCTGAGTCCCAGTTGAAGACAGTCTTGGTGCTCTTACTCCTCCCGCCGCTACCACCCAGGTGTGTCCGCGCCACAGCCTCCCCCACAACGCCCCGTAGACCGCTTCTGGGCGTGGCCGGCAGAGGACTCCGAGCACACGACAGCAGGTAGTTCTCCTCCTGAGGGTCAACACACAGTTAGACATCATCTCTTACTTTCAGCTGAATACAGTGACACCAATATGACGACACAACACAGGAGAGGATGGTCAGACATGCAGATAAAGTTAAACATATACAAAGACATGGAATGACATAAAAATAGACAAGCATATAAACAGTCACACAAACATATACACAGATAGGAAGATGCACACACACAGGCGCGCTCCTTATTCTAAATGTCAGGAGAAGTCCGGTAATAGTTATGTGGAAGGAATAAAATAAAACTTTAAAGGTGGAGAGAGTGCACCCCAGACCACCCACACCTTCACACGGCAGTACCAGGACCACCCACACCCTCACACCGTACGGCAGTACCAGGACCACCCACACCCTCACACCACACACGGCAGTACCAGGACCACCCACACCCTCACACCGTACGGCAGTACCAGGACCACCCACACCCTCACACCACACACGGCAGTACCAGGACCACCCACACCCTCACACCCTACCAGACCACCCCTCACACACACGGCAGTACCAGGACCACCCACACCCTCACACCGTACGGCAGTACCAGGACCACCCACACCCTCACACCACACACGGCAGTACCAGGACCACCCACACCCTCACACCACACACGGCAGTACCAGGACCACCCACGCCCTCACACCACACACGGCAGTACCAGGACCACCCACATCCTCACACCACACACGGCAATACTGGTTGAATCCCTCTATAAAGATGATAGCCGGTTCCTGGTCAAATTGGCCCGATCCTAATAGGTCCCATCTTAACCAATTAGGGAGGCCCAAGTATTTATGGTTAGGTTATGTTGGGGCTTTTTAGGACTGGGGGACCCATTATGCTGGTCACACCTGCCTTAATAATTAACACTGTAACGTGAAATCAATGTTCAATATCGTGTTTGTGTTGGGTCACACTGGTCTGACCTAACTTGTATCGTTGTATAGTCATATATAATTAGATACAAGAATGTACCTGTGTACTATATGAAACCAGTATCATTATAGACGCCTATATTGATAATTAATTATATTTCTTCGGGATTTATCTTAGAAAATACAGATAAGCAGGTTTTGGGAATATCATTTATGGGTCCATTATAAAAAGAAATAAGTTGCTAAGATTTTAAATACAGGGCATAAATTACTAGAAAATTCTGACACTACAGCTGTATGTATTGGGCAGTGAGCGAGTCAACACACACACACGCACAGGGATATATATATATATATATATATATATATATATATATATATATATATATATATATATATATATATATATATATATATATATATATATATATATATATATATATATATATATATATATATATTCTCAACATTTCCTGTGTGGTTAAGAACGTCATTAACCCAAGCTATATAGTCAACAGTCGTCCACATTCTTCTATATTTGTACCTAAATATTGTCCTCTCAGTAAGTGCTAAGTGAACGTCAGTAGATAAGGTAGAGTCTGTAATTCTGGCGCCATTTTGAAAGTTATTGCTGTATTTGAGAATAAGTCGGCTAATTGAATGCTGTACTTCATGATCCCTTGGTGTGTATTGTGTTGTGTTGTTGTTGTGTTTTTGGTGTGCTTGTTATGTTGTTGCTCTGCTTTTTGTTGTTCTGCTGTTGTGTTGCCGTGTTCTTGTTGTTATGGTGTCGTTGCTGTTCTTGTTGCTGTGTTGCATTGTTGCTATGTTGCTGCTGTTTTGTTGTATTGCTGTGTTGTACTGCTATGTTGTTGTTTTTTGTGCTGTGTTGTTGCTATTGTATTGCTAAGGTGGTAAAGTTGACGTACAAATCTTTGAGAAACCCGTGTTAGGGTAACGTGTATAGTTTGGCTACCAGCTGTGTACAGTGATTAATGAGCGCGGGCCATGACACCTGCTGGTAAATAATTAATGTATGGGAGGGGTAGGGGATAGGTGGAAGGGAGGAGAGGGACGGTAGAGATGGGTGGGCAGGGTACAGAATCGAGGAAGGGGCAGTGGTGGAGGAGGGAGGGAGGGATGGGTGGGATGGTGGATAGGACAGATTGAGTGGTCGGGAAAGAAGAGAGGAGATGAAATGGATGAAGGGTAGTGAAAAAAGGAATAGGGGGTGAAAGAGAGAAGGGTAGAATCGGAGAGTAAAGGGATGGAGGTGAGGGGAGGGTTGGATGAAGGTTAAGGCGGGAGGGTGGTTAAGTAGTGAATAAGGTTAAGGGGGGGAGGGAGGTTAATGAAGAAGGGAGGGAGGAAGGAGTGAATGCCATGGAAATCTCTCATGGTAAGGTGACGTGTTGGGGTCGATACAGATTGGCGCTGATTCATCGGACGGCCAAACGTAGTGTGGGTGGGAGAAGGGCATAGGAGATGGGGAAGCGTGGGAAGGTGGGGTAGGGGATTGGGGAGAAGCGTAGAGGAAGTGGGGCGGAGGAACAGGGGGTGAGGGCATAAGAGGGACGCAGAAGAAAGGAGAAGCATAGAAGAGATAGAGGGGGAGTGGGGGGGGGGAGTTGTAGGGGGGAAAAAGGGACGGGGGGATTAGCACAGGGAGGATAAAGAAGAGAAGAGGCGTAGGAAGGAGAGGGGGGAGTAATATGAAAATAATGATTCGTTGATGATCAGACTACACTTCAAGGCCTGTAAGTTGTACCTTGATAAAAATACGTGCCAGGGAAGGAAATTTCACAATCAAAAAGCGCGAGGAATGGAGGCAGTGAATAATGATAGCACAGAACAGAGGCGGTACGATAGAAAGTGATCTTGCGTTGCTACTGGGGTTGACAAGATGGGGATGATAGATTAGGTTTCATTACCAAGACTAACCAAGGAAACACCGATGAAGAAGATGAAGAGAAGTGATGGTATGGAGGTAGCGAGAGGGCTTGGTGGTTGATCAGTCGAATACCATACGATAGCATTTTTTCTTATCAGGTTTGAATTAGTTAGGTTAGGTTAGGTTTCGTGATTTCTACATATGGTTTGATTAGACCCACAAAAGGTTGAGGGGTTATATGATAGTTTGGGGATCAACAGGAGTGATTTTCTTACCTGGTAGAAAGAGGAGAACTCGGCCGGGTCCTGAGATGGCTGAACCTTAGCGTGACGTGAATGTCGTTATCCCTTGATGTTTGTTGTGTTGCTGTTGTTGTGTTATTGATGTGTTGCTGTTGTTGTTGTGTTATTGATGTGTTGCTGTTGTTTTTGTTCATTGAGTTGCTGTCTTTTTGTTGTTATTGATGTGTTGTTGCGTTATTGATGTGTTGGTGTGTTCTTTATGTGTTGGTATGTTCTTGGTGAGTTCTTGTTGTGTTGTGTTGCCTGCCTTCATTTCCATCCTTCCGCCGTGTGATGTTTTCTTTTCATTATAATTGTGTGTGCGTGTGTGTGTATATATGCATGGGATTAGGTTGGGGCGAGTGTATCAATATAAATGAACACATGTGACTGCAGATGTGTATTTGTGCTTGCATGAATGTTAACCTGCCATTACACCTGAACTGCTTTGTTAAAGTTCTTTTATACAGACAAACTGTATCAAAGGTCCTTCAAGGAACAACACCTTGACACAAGACCTCAGAAGCCAGCTGTGAGAGTGGCAGTACTTACCTTGAGTGCTTGGACGAGCTGTGCGTAGTGTTGACACAGTATGGCCAGAGTGTTCACGTCGGCTCCTCGCTGCTCTTCGCTTCCAGTCCTCTTCGGCAGTGCCACCTTCCTCGATCGCCCTTTAGTTGTTGACGTCACGATGTCTGGGGCCTCAGGCGTCCTTGTCGGTTCCGATGCCGAAGACGACGACGATCTCTCAAGTTTGACCACCTGCGATAACACCTCCACCACCGACCTCCTGGTGCTCACCTCCGGGATCTTGATGACCTCCATCAGATCCACGTCGTGAGGGGACTCCACGCCGTCACTCGTGGGCGCTAGAGAGTTTCTCTTCTTTGTCTCTTGAGTCATGGTGCCGGCAGGCGCGTCGCTTTCCGCCTCGCTGTCACTAGTCCCCACCCCCCTCCCGCTGGTGATGTTGGAGGTGTTACTGTTGTTATTGTTGTTGATGTTGTTATTGACACCGACGTTGTTGTTATTGTTGGCAGTGTTATTGCTGGTAGTGTTGTTGTTGTTTTCTTGAGTCGCCAGCCTCGGAGAGTCGATGTCACTCTGCAAGATAAACACTGCGTGAAAGACACACCGATGACGGCTACAGCGAAGTTCAATAATCAGGTAGTAAAGGGAGGTACAGGTACACTTGTGAGGTACACTACACGGACATGTTATATGTTCTTAATCATGGTACAATTACAACTACTATATACTAACTTCTACTACTACTACTACTATATTAACTTCTACTACTACTATACTAACTTCTACTACTACTACTGCTAATAATAATAATAATAATAATAATAATAATAATAATAATAATAATAATAATAATAAATAAAAGTCATTAAATTACTGTTATTATCATTTGCTATAATTTTTAGTACGTATTATTATTATTATTATTATTATTATTATTATTCATTGTGCACTTAAACTTTAATTACTTCGTATATACATATGATAGAAGCAGTCTGTAAATGACACATAAAAAGCCTACAGTATTTAATAAAGTTTTAGAAGTTACTACATACGTCTCTACCTCCCAACATACCCGTTGTTGGAAGTTAGTGAAATGTGGCAATACAATACCGTAGACTTTATGCTGTGTTGAATTTTTACAGTAGAGTACTAATATATATAAATAATTCTTAATACAATTTCAAACAAGGAAAGAGAGAGAGGCTAAAAGTTAAATTGGAATGGAAAATAAGAATATAAAATAGGTCTTTTTAACATAACAGTCGATGGTGTTATTCCGCCGTATTTAACTTACTGCACCTGTAGCCTGTATGAATATGAATCCAGAACGATGCTGCTTTAGTTGTTAGTTAGAAATGTAAGCAGTAATTGTGCTAAAACTTTATATCTATTGAATAAACTTATATATCATTTACAAATTATTTTTATCAAAGTTATTCAAGTTATAAAATGCACACGGACTTTATAAACACATTATAATGAAACAAAAGTTGAACACATTCACTTAAGTGTAGCCATTATTTAATTTCCAAATCATTATTTAACATTCTCTTATTACCGATAATGTATTCTGCTATTGTAACTCTACCCGTACTCTTGTTTCTGTAACTAATAAATAATAAAATGGTTTAAATATTTCGAATTTCAGGACATTAATTTAACCAGCCGAATTGTGTGTGCGTGTGAGAGAGAGAGAGAGAGATCAATGAACGTACTGTATGTTTTATCACTCCCCGTAGTGTATAAATCAACATAATATGGACCATCTTTCTTTTATCCCCGTACCTTAAATATTTCTTCCTTTCCTCGTTAGGTTGAATAAGAGCATCTCGATACATCTTTATTGTCGTGTTTATGTTTCTCTGCGCTCCACACTAAACGACAACTTTAGAAACACTGTATGATAGTCTTGGTCATTTAGGCTATCAATTGAACGCCATAATTAAAGTGAAACATTTACTAGAGAATAATGTCATCGTGAACTCTGAAGCCTCCAATATTTGAAAGACAATTTGTTTTCTAACATTTCATATCAATAAAGAGAAGTTGCTAGGAGTACTCAACCTTTAGTTAAAAGGTTAGATATAAATGCTGTAGACCCAAGGAGATGAGAGGGGCTTATTTATTATGCACACGAGGGGCGTGAGTGGGTGGGGTTGTTGAGCTGTGTATCTGTTACCTGGTTTTTTATATTGTCTATGGAGTGAAATTATGAGGCTGTTGAGGTTTCCTGACGAGATGTAGTATAGAGACAGTCCTCTTTAGGTTATATACGTTCATTTAACACTCCTCAACTCATAGGAACAAATGTCAGTCTTGGCAAAAGGTCAAAGCTTTATTCATAGAAATTCTAGTAGTTTCATATTCAGTGCCTGGAAGGTTTGTTGAAGATAAAAACAACGGTTGTAATCGTTTGTCTATTACTGTACGTTTACACATCAGTGGGTTGTGGTGTAAATCGTGGTGTGTGTGAGAGAGAGAGAGAGAGATATCCTGTGTTGGTGAATGGGAAGGGCGATACGAGAGAAAGTAAGTGAGGGAGGATGGTTGGACGGATGAGGGTGTGGGGGCGTCAGAGGGAAGGTAGGATGGGAAGGCATAGGAAGAGAGAGAAAGGCAAATGGAAAACAATGTACAGTGTTAAGCCCAAACTGTTTGAAGGATTAGCATCGAAATTCGTATTTAACGCTGCCAGTGGCATGTGTTTTTTAGACTCTGATCCTTTCGCTTTTTTCTATTATACTTTGGCACATTTTTTTTAGGTATATGATAAATATAAAAACAGTATTAGTAGATAGTTTAAAGAGTGGAAGGTCGGACGGAGCGTATCATCTGTGCTGATTCAATTTCTTCTCGAGAAATTCGTTTTATACATTTCTGCGTGTCTTCCTCTTCATAGAAACGTGTATTTTATCATTTATTTTCTTTTTCTTCTTCCTCCTCTTCTTTCTTCTTATTATTTCTTCTTCCTCTTCTTACTCCCCTTTTCTCTTCTTACTCCTTTTCCTCTTCTAACGTCTTTTCCCTCTTCTTATTCTCCTTTCTTGCTTCTTTTTAGTCCTCTTCTTCGCCTCTTTCTTAGTCTTCTTATCCTTATTAAAATCGCATACCTTCCCAACCACTCTGTCAGAAGAATGTTGACGAGTGGTGGTGGCGTTATATGACTGACTCTGATGAAACGTTAATTTCCCGCCCCCGACAGATTTACATACATCACGCGAGGTGGCCCGGCTGACTGCTGATGGGTGACTTCTGGCGGGTGACTTCTGACTGCTGACTGTTTGTGGGTGAATGGTGACGTAAACATTAGGATTCCGACCCACGTTTAATAATGAGGTCCCAATCTTAATGGGTTTTAGTCGTAATGGGTCCGAACGTTAATGTGTCCCTGTATAAATGGGTCTCAGTAGCAATGGCCAGGTTAGGTTAGATTGTGGACTCTGACGACTGAGGGTCATTACACCTTCAGAGTGTAGTGGTGGTGGCCGGGTCCTAATCACACGTCCCTGGGGGAGTGGGAAGGTCACCAAGGATTCCCCTAGGGATTTACATATATTACGTAGAGCAGCCTTGTTGAAAGGGGCGGCGGGGGGGTGGGGGGTTGATCCAACTACTGTGTCAGGGCAGGAACCTCCACGAAGCTACTGTGACTATATGACCCTCAGTACACTTAATGTAACTAACCTAACCTAACCTAAACTAACATAACCTAATTTAATCAAACATAACCTAACCCCGTGTAACTTAGACCAATCGAACCAACACGATCTGATCCGATAAAGAGGGTCTCATAGGCATAATTGAACGTTCTGGACTGTGGATGCTATTATTATATTATATGCCTTCGGTACACAGGAGTTAGCATGGTCGGCACTGTACTTGCTCACTTTCACTTCCTCAACATGTAAAGTTATAATAGGTACCCATTTACAGCTGGGTTGACTAGGCGTGCACCGGGATCTAACCGACGACCCTTGGGACATGAGATGAACATTTGAATGCGATATCCACTCTGCCGTCGCCGCACCTCTCAAATCTGACCAAACGCAAACTAAATGACCTGACTTATCTAACCCAAATAACTCTTACCTAACCAAGTTCAACTCACTTAATCCTAAAACAGTACGTGACCCAAGTAACCTAACCAAAGAAAACTCAATTTAACCTACCTTAGTCCCCGCCAAAAAAACAAAAAAAAACATGCAAAGTTAATAAATATAATATACCTTAGCCCCAAACACTCACCAAACCCAATTATAAAAACACAAATAACGTAACCAAAGCGAAAATCTCCTCAGTATACACCACCCAGTTAGTCAGACAGTGGAGGTTTGTAGCTACGTGCCATGAGCCAAATCCCCCGGGGAAGTAAATGATGGTGTAGGACTGTAGGGAGAAGAAAATCCCAGCTTTACCTAACGTGACCTGGATTAGCCTGGCAGGACTCATATATATATATATATATATATATATATATATATATATATATATATATATATATATATATATATATATATATATATATATATATATATATATATATATACACTGTATATACGGCAGGGACTCTAATCCAATGAGAACTGGTATGGTATTTTTTTCCCACGAAATAGTTAAGGTTACGTTCTTGGTCAGTATCTTTCAAAGGTTCGTACTATTTATATTTCCCATTAAAAATTATATTAAAAATATAACTAATTTAAACCACGAAAATAACAACCAAAAATTAGCATCAAAATTACAGTGAGATTCCACACTAACTTACGATCACTTAGCAATAGCTGGGATAAAAAACTGAAGTCTAAAATCTTTGCAGTGCGTGGCGATAAATTACATTATAACTTATTTTACTTTCCTTTCCCTGATAAATAAAGTTCATACTAAAATAATCAAAGCCATAAGACGTTATCTAACTCCATTTTTTGGTAAAACTCAGATTATACGATGAATTTTCATAAGCGAGGGCTGTAGTTCTTCCCTTCTAAATAACATAATCACAATTTAGTTTCTCCACAGTATCAGCTGGTAGCGTCCCCACTTTAATACTAATCTTCTAATTTTCATGCACAGGAGCATGTTTGTGAATGAAATGTGAAGGTCCCCAAATGTATTTTACTAATTAACAAACGCCGCTGTAAATGATATAACAGTGGCCATTGGTCCTACTGGATATAAAAAGTTTTATTTTATCTTGAAAGCTATCCCCAGCAAAGTTTGACATCGTCCAACTCAAAATCACACTGACAGTAATGTATTTTCATATTAAAACTTAGGCCTTAAATGAGCAGACTTTCATTACACGATTTTTTCTTTACAAAGTATTTAAAAAAAGACGAAAAAAGATCAGCTTTCTTACGCTCTTGAAGCATGTTGTAATAATTAATTTACCGGTGGGGGGGGTTGAGGAAGAAGGTATCTACTCTTTATATGAGACTGTGATAAAAGATAGAAGACAGCCATAATTGTAATTTATATTTTATTTACAGTATACAAGGTGAATTGCAGGTGACTTTTGGCAACACACAAAACGTCAATAATTAATCCACTTGTTGACCTCCTTACTGTCTAAAGGCACTAACTTCCCTATTTATCTTTACGTAAGACACAGGGAGCTAAGCAACCTAACCTAACCATGCCGGGCAATCCAGGGGTAGGTTAGGTTAGTTAAGTTACAGGTTTGGTTGGTTGGTACCGACTGCGGCTATGGATAGAGCGATACAAATCAACGAAATTTACACAACTTAACCAAACCAAACTTACTCGAGGTGTTTTAGGTGAAGTTAAGTTAGGTTTGGTTTGGTTTTATTTACTGTACATTCACCAAGCCAGAGTATTAACCAATCGCCACTTGGGAAATGATGACGTTAAAACATTGGACCTATTAAAACAAAGATGATATTCTGTCTGTCTGTAGTAGTAAGCCAACTAATTCAGGAGAGTCGTAAGAGTTAATTAAGTTCCGCCAGTTTCATTGACTCCCCCCTCCCCCCCATGAGGCTACTCCCTCGAGGCCAATTGTTGTAATGGAGTTAAAGTTAACCTGACACTGGGATGTTCCTCGACTTAGCTGATTTAGTCGACTTTCTTACCCGCTGATTATATAAATAAATATTTCCCGTACAGACCCAATGGATTCGATAAGAATAACTAAAAGAAACTCTGGTCAATAAACAAGATGGTCGACAACAAAACTGGGCATATTTTCAGCTTTCTCAACTTTACGGATGTCGATATCGAAAATCGCTATTTACAAGTTACATGTCACAACAATCAACATGTGAGTGCTTTGTTAATGTTTCTAATATTTCCTGTTTGGGTGTTATTTTTTTTGGCAAGGTGGAGGGTGAAGTAGGTTAGAGGTGTGTTAATATGACCTGTTTTATGTGCTTCTGCTGCTTAAAGTGACGAAAACCAATATATATTTTATTCCTGTCATTATACTACAGCATTTATTTTATCGCTCCAGCATCAACACGTGAGGAAGCCCCACCACACGCAGCAAGAAGCCGCTACAGGAGAAAAAGATTAAACTGTTATTGACACGAACTAGGGCGCGCCGTCCACACCTTTAGAAGAAAGTGTTCACGCACGAGTTGTATGTATCGATTTACAGGAGTGAATTATTCTATTCCGTTAAAAATTGAAGGAAGTTGGTGCGTGTGGCGCGAGTTTTAGTAATGTAGGCGAGCAGCGACAGGTGCCAGCGACCATTATTATGATGAACTGGCACAAAACTTTTTACGTTTTATGAATGAATTTTGGTTCGAGACTGACGTAATTTAATGAAAAGAAATTGCAATAAAACTTACTTGTGAAAGTAAAAACAACATATTTTACACTCGAGAAAAAATAAAAAAAATTGCAAAAGAAATTGCAGGCTCTTAAATTTATATCCTGTGCGGTATAAGACCAATTCATATATATATATATATATATATATATATATATATATATATATATATATATATATATATATATATATATATATATATATATATATATACAATTATTTATTACTTGTAGAGAACAACTAAAAAAACGATATAATTTACTTCAAGATATACTACCTGTAAGTGTATCCACCGACAACTAAAAATTCCAATGCATAATTAATTGAGAGTAAAGAATAAAGAAACTAAATAAACAGAAACGGTAAAGCTGGGAAACGTTCATCTGATGACTATGTGCGGGAGATAGGTGTTAAAATATTCTTGTCTCTAAATGTTTCATTATTTTTAATAGCCGAGAAGTTTTAACGAATTATTTTGTCAGATATTAATTCTTTTTGACGTTTATTAATTTATTTACCTTATTTTCTTTCAGTTAGACATTAAGTATTGTCATATTATTATTATTTCTGACGTGTTTATGAGTCACTGAAAAAAAATGCTTCCGAATTCAAGTTGTAGAAATATTTCCATGGTGACAGCCCTAGCCACAGTTCATTAGTTCTCAAGATGCTGAAATATAATAATTCCACATTGTTAGCATTCAAGTGTGGGGTAATGGTTGTCAGTACTGTATGAGATGTGACAGCAGGTTTAATGTGGGATGGTCCGTGTTGTGAAAAAAATAGTGATTTGGATTTGTTAAGGGTAATGGTAAACTGTGAAAGAAAGTGATTTTAAAGTATAATGACGTAGAGTGAAAGAAAATGCGGTTTAAAGTATTATGACGTAGTGAAAGAAAATTATTTCAAAGTATAATGAGGGTAGAGTGAAAGAAGATGAATGACAGTGTGAAGATGTATTTTAAGAGTGAAAGAGAAGAGGTTTTTAAAGAGTGATGATCTCTTAAAATAGTCTAGAGTGAAGGCAGTGGCGAGCCAGCGTGAATGAAGAAAGCTTGAACGATTGACGACAGACAAGAGTGAAGAGTAAGCGCGTTTTAAAGAGTGAAAGCCAACAAGAGTGCAGACGCAGACTTAAAAAAAACCCGTTACAATACATAATAATTGAGCAAGAATTATGAAAAAGAGATATCGATCCATATTCTCAAATTCGTACGATAGGTGTTAACTCAAACCGAGGTATGTACAGTATATCGCTGGGGAAATGAGAACGTATATAACCAATTCACTTTGGGTTAACTACAGAAAGACCACGGCGGCCAAACTTGCCACTGGAAAATACACCGAGACGTGAGATACATTCAAACATGAGCGAAAAAAACATATCACCGGAAGATTGACACCAAAACGGCTCTCTCAGTGATCGATGCCTGGGTTTGAATATTTTGAGGCGTCTAGATACCCTATTTTCGAGGGCCTGGGAATACACGACTCCCGGACTCGAATTTGTAGCTGCATGAATTATGGGTTCAAACACGTCCTCAACATCTGTGCTTCCAGGAACAGGTAAGTACAGACACCTGAGAACTAATTAAAGTAAGTAACGATCTATGTCCTGTAGGAAGAGTTACCTGTCGAGCAAGTACGAGCAACTGTGAGTTACCTGTGGCGTAAATTGTTACCTGTAAGGCAATTAAGTCAACTCTGAGTTAGTTAGGGTGATTAAAATTGTGTATGGGGTAATTAGTCAGCTGTTAGGAACGTATATATAGTTACAGGTACCTGTATGTGTATAAGACAAGTAGAGTTTGGAGTAAGACAAGTAGAGTTAGGAGTAAGACAAGTAGAGTTAGGAGTAAGACAAGTAGAGTTAAGAGTAAGACAAGTAGAGTTAAGAGTAAGACAAGTGGAGTTAAGAGTAAGACAAGTAGAGTTAGGAGTAAGACAAGTAGAGTTAAGAGTAAGACAAGTAGAGTTGTGACTAAGACAAGTAGTGTTAGGAGTAAGACAAGTGGAGTTAGGAGTAAGACAAGTAGAGTTAAGAGTAAGACAAGTAGAGTTAAGAGTAAGACAAGTAGAGTTGTGACTAAGACAAGTAGTGTTAGGAGTAAGACAAGTGGAGTTAGGAGTAAGACAAGTAGAGTTAAGAGTAAGACAAGTAGAGTTAAGAGTAAGACAAGTAGAGTTAGAGTAAGACAAGTAGAGTTAGGAGTAAGACAAGTAGAGTTAAGAATAAGACAAGTAGAGTTAGGGAGTAAGAATAAGACAAGGAGTTAGGAGTAAGACAAGTAGAGGAGTAGTAGAGTAAGACAAGTAGAGTTAAGAGTAAGACAAGTAGAGTTAAGAGTAAGACAAGTAGAGTTAGGAGTAAGACAAGTGGAGTTAGGAGTAAGACAAGTAGAGTTAAGAGTAAGACAAGTAGAGTTAAGAGTAAGACAAGTAGAGTTGTGACTAAGACAAGTAGTGTTAGGAGTAAGACAAGTGGAGTTAGGAGTAAGACAAGTGGAGTTAAGAGTAAGACAAGTAGAGTTAAGAGTAAGACAAGTAGAGTTAGGAGTAAGACAAGTAGAGTTAAGAGTAAGACAAGTAGAGTTAGGAGTAAGACAAGTGGAGTTAAGAGTAAGACAAGTAGAGTTAAGAGTAAGACAAGTAGAGCTAGGAGTAAGACCAGGAGAGTTACCTGAAGGTGCGTGTGGTGTGGGTCAGAAGAACAGTTGTCACATCTGGTACAGTACCCCTGGCGGCCCCGAGACGAACCCAGGGCACTGTTGAGAGTCTTCTGCCCACCTCCCTCCTGTAGGTCAGTGAGTCACTACCATATATAGACAGTCAGACACGTAAAATAAACAAATATATGATCAACTGATATACAAATAAAAATACAGGTAGTTATGTTAATTGTAGGAAATTGTAATAGAAAGATAGATGAATGTTTAGATAAGTATACAGTACAGAGGTATACATATAAAGAGATAATGTGAAAAAGAAATTTAGGTAAGGTTCTATCTCCCGCTGGTACAAGACAACATATTGATCAGTCTCTGTTATTGACTCTGAAAGGGGTCACAGCTCAAGATTGAAGAAGCCGCAAGTCCAGAAAACTGCGAGGGCAAACTTTTTCGGAGTGAGAGTTGTGAACTCTTGGAACAATCTACCAGAGAGTGTTGTGACGGAACCGAGTGTGAGCTCTTTCAAGACCAGACTTGACCAACACTGGAGCGGGTTCAGGTACATTCAGGAGCCGGTGAATGCCCAGTACTTGCCAACAGTGCGTAACAGAGACGTGACCGAACGCCCAAGCGGCTAACGAGCCGATCAGTGGTGAAGAGGATAAAAGTAAAGTAAAAGTAAAAGCCCACACCATACGGCAGCAACCACTCACACTAAAGTTAGTCGGTTGTCAGTGTCAAGACTCAACAACGACTGAATATAGTGATGATTCTTCGGACGTCTATCTATAGAAGTCAAACTTTCCAGATGATTGTTAAAAGAAAGTTACAGAATCCCTGAGATACTAAGGTAAGTATGGATAAATTTATGTTAAGCATCACAGTTAGGACGAAAAATAAACGGATAGAGAATCTCGTGCCGAAGTAAAAAAAAATACGTGGACTGCCGGTGGTTTTATTAATTTTCCGAAAAGTTCGGTAAACATAGAAAATGAATTAGAAGACTCTCACCTTGACTTAATTCTGAGAGCAACGTTACTTCGTCTCCAAGATACAAAACATTTTTAGCCCAGCTGGAAACGTCCACTTAGTAGGGCACTTTATTACCCCAGGATACGGAAACCTGGGTATACACTTGTTACCTGGTGAGTTGTGACTTAATACAACGCTCATTTCACTGATTCTTATAACATAGGCTTAAATATATATATATATATATATATATATATATATATATATATATATATATATATATATATATATATATATATATATATATAATAGCGACAGCTATCATAGTCTTTCGTCCTAAGGTTCTTCGAAACTTCACGCACGACTCGTGCAAAATTATTTTCTTCTTAGTTACTGTTCTTAGGAAACAAGTTTTCTGAAAACTATACAAATTCAAGAGAAATATCTTACCTCATTATCCAAAGAGCTGTCTTGGCTTGATAGTTCGTTGTTACGAGGCGAGAGATCTGCTGGTTTCATCTGCAAACAGATATTAAAAAACCGATTTACAAACAAAATCGGAAGACAGGAGGCGTGATCGTCCCTCATGAGAGATCCCTCACGACTGATCAGACGGAAGCCATATTGTATCGAGCGCGTCCCGTGACCATGGAGACGACGCTCACTTGTCCGGGGCAGACGGGGGGCCATCAGCTGATCCTCACAACCAAAACACTACACCGTTCACTCCGCTCCTCTGAAATGCCGTCCGTGTTGTTGACAGACTCCATATCAGTGGAATTGGGAGGTAAGTCAACGAATACACATCACAAGGATTCTCACCATCAAATTATATTGAAGAAATAACCCAGTCAGTGTTTGGGCCCCCAAGTGTACTCACGGAAACAAACCCCAGGCAGGATAGTGTACTCTGCTGTTGCCCGACAATGCCACACCTTATGTAAGTTAATGACACTATTTGCACATTCTTGCCTGGGTTTGTAGTTTACAGTGATTTTGATTAAGCTCTCGTAGACTAAATTAGAAGCCATGCATTGACTAGCATGTGGATATTTGAGATGCAAAATGTACAACAAAAATCAGAGGACCAGAGTGCTGACGGTAGAAATGTTTGGTGTAGATTAAGGAGTGAGGTGCTACGTGTACCCTTATTTCTTTTAATGGGGGTAATACAGCCACGCCTAACCCTTAGCACCAACGTGAGGAAATTTCTCTATAGAAAATAAAAGTTTTCTTACCCTCGATACGGTACATGAAAAAAGTGCACGAGGAATGAGTTTGATGTTATGCCACGTATAATTTTTCCGTTTTGAATCGTACATGGAGGTGACAACAAAGCGTCAGTCATTTATGTTGGAACGGAGCAGTGTTTGCTACTTCTGGATCATTTATTAGCAGTTTAGTGTAAACGTAACATTGGTAAAGATTCGCCTTATGTTATAATGGGAATTTGATAATGGAAATCAGTTTTTCTAATGATTTTTGTGGTGATTTGAAAGAATATAACCTTTATTTTTGTAGCTAATGCTTATTTATGGAGCTATGACCCATTTAGCACTAGCAAAGATAATTATTTCTATCCAAATGTTTTTATAGTGTTTTAACCCCACATTTTCCCTCATCTTCCAAGCCCTGCCCAGTCTCTGTAAATCATGGTCATATCTCCGTAAACAAGCATTAGCAACTAAAATAAATGTCATATTCTTTCAACTCACCATGAAAACCTATTTTTATTATTAAAATTCCCATTATGACAAAATGAATCTTTACTATAACATTCTCTTGGAAGGTTCCTTTCAAAATTTACTTTTAAAAATAAAGTAGAAGGTAATTGTAGTATTTTATGTTACGTTGAGTTTGGTAGTTTAATTGGTTTATATTACGAAAAAAAAATACTGTAGCAGCATCTGCTATGTTTGGAGTTAGCGCCAAAGTACAGAAACCAGATACAGTACTGCTGTATTCTATTGTTTATCATTCATAAAATGAATTGGACTAACCTTAAATACCAAGCCCAACGTATAATTATAAAATTAGCTTGTATGTTTTAATCTTCTAAAATAAAAATATGAAGCCTTTCTAAAAGTTAGCCGTAGAAACGAACATGGCAGACATTGAGAAGCTTGTTGCCCTCATTTCCCAGATGTAAATAATCATAAAAGTGATAGATTATTACACAAAACATATTCCTCGTCCACTTTTTGTAATTTCCAAGAAGTAAGAAAGTGTTCATTTTCTATGGAGAAATTTTCTCAATTATGTGCTCATCAAGTACTGTATATAATATCTGTAATGGAATCTCACATTCATAAATATGTTTCTTATAATGCTCAGACTGTTCACTGTATGAACTTATGAAAATCTGGAATGTTGGATAATGGTATAGTTTACTGTACGTTTTGTTAATATAATTATTTATTTTCCCTCATAATTTTCACTTACTGTATGAAGGAAAAAATTACCGGAACTTTGAAATTACTGAATTAATAAGTGTTAAGTAGACCATGCCTTCGGCACCTCTTTTTTATACAGAAAGCTATTACACTAAGGTTTGTCAGGAATGAACCGCTGAATACTGGCCCATTTCTACTAAAAGAAGACAATATGTAATTGTTTTTTAGTTGGTGAAGGTTCAGTGGCTTAAACAACTCATTTCAAACTTCTATAGCAAACATCTCTCCGTCTCCTTTCTCAACATATTTTCATCACCTTATTTTTTCACGCTAAATTTTCTCAACTATAATGTATGTTCTTCCACATTCATTATTTTAACATTTTACTTTTTATTTCTCTGCTTTACAGCTCAAGAACCATGGCCAAATGATGTGAAATTATTTCAGCAATATGAAGTTGAGCAGATCTTACTGCCTGACAATGCCAACTGCTTGGCTGTACAGGCTTTCCTTAAAATGTGCCATCTGAACTTTAGCTTAGAAATGAGAGGCAACGCTGAACATATGTCACCTAGTGGTAAGTACAGTACTCAATAATATGTATTAATTTTTGTAACCATTATATAGCAATGTCTCTGATGTTTAGAGGGGCGCAAGGAGTCCAGTTAGAAAGATTAGGAGAGGTTAGTCAATTTCTGATTAAGTTTTTACAGTACAGTACTCCAAAAATGAGAAAAGGCAATACAGTATTCAACAATTTTTGGGTTACTGAATTTATTTTTTACACAAAAACTCAACAGCTTATTTTTCAAGAAATAAAAATGTAGAAACTAGATGGAACATTAATTAATATACTGTATACATACCTTTATTTGTGCAGCTTGTATAGTACTTGATGATGTCTTCCAAACAACTAGATTGTCAACCATATCTATGACAGTGTTGAAAGTTTGATGATCAATTCACAAAGTACTTTATATGTTTGGGAATTGTTAATTTAGGTTTAAGGAAAATGGTTGCTACATGCCTGCAATATTAAATAAGAATGTATTAAAGGAACGAGTGATGACGTGACTAGTCTAGCCAAAGAGGAAACTAGAATGAATGCAATAGAAAAATAAAAGATAAATAGAAAAAAGGGGAAATACCGTAACAATCGATGAATTATAGTGTAGGGAGGCTACCGAGTAGCCATCAGTACTACTGTGGACATAAAGAGGAACCCCCCATGAACACACTGTACCGCAGTAAAGTATATGGCCCTGTAGATAGTTTTATAGTGTTCCCTTGGCTATCGTTATGATGTTTATGTTGGTTCTATAATTTCATTTGAGTTGTATGAAGTAAACAGACACACACAGTCTTTTGGACATTGTATGAAATAATTTATGTGGTAACAGTTCAGTACTGTAGCCATAAATAATGAATTGTTATATCTGTCAATTTGTACATGGAGTTTGCGTGGACCAGTAGCATGTTAGGTAGAAGTCTTGTAATGTGTGTCAGCTTATGTGACCACCATCCTCCTGCCTCTTTTTTTTTGGAGAGCGGGGGGGGGGGGTACATAAGAAGACAGTGTGGTATGAACTACACTAACTATCATCAAAGTTAATTACCCATTGTGCAGCTGGGGGCTGATAATCTGAGTAGGGATAAAATGAAGGTAGTGAGTGGTTGAGATATCTGGGAGTATCTGTGAAGAGGGATAGAGTAGATGAGTAAAAAATACAGTAATACTTGTAGGTACATTAAGATATGTATGGAAAGAGACAATATCATCAAAGGATCCAAAGTTGGGGATGTATAGAAGACACAATGAGCTGATATTTCTATTGTATGTGGGAGTGAAATGTGGACTGTGGTGGATGTAAGTGTGGGGGAAGCAGATTAAAATTAACAAATGATATAATTTTGAGTAATGTAGGGTGAATAGGATGCAGAGAATAATAGATACAGAAACTAAAGTTGTAGAAATAGAAGACTTTTTGGACAGAGAGGTGACCTAGGTATTGTTTATTATGGTGATATGGACTAGCTGAGAAGAGGGGATAGTGGAATACAGTATCGATGATAAGTGTGTACAGTATATTTGAAGAGATGAATGGTAGGAGGAAGAAGGAAACAAGAAGAAGAGGGGTAAATGGGGATAAAGGAGGTACAGTAGTAGAAGTGAAAGGAATAGACATTCAATATGCAGCAAAAAATGTGAATGATAAAGTGTGGCAGCATGGAGTGATTAGATGAAGTTAAATGAAAGGAGGATTTGTTTGTGCTCTCGATTCCACTCATTGTATGGCATAGTAGAAAAAAAAAAGGCTTGCAAGCTAAAGAAGGTCATGTACAGTGCAAAAAAAAGATGAATTATTTGACTTAAAACAAAACTAAGAAATACCTCACCTTTTGCATGTATCGTAGAAAGGAGAAGGCAGAGGATGGAGTGGCAGGCTTGGAGGAACTTGGCTTCTCGGGTGTAGTTGCTGCCATCTTGCCTGTAGACTGTGTTTACTAGTGCAGCCAGTTTGATTGCAATTGATCACAACTGCTTATTATGGGTGCATCACGCCTTGTGGCTCATGTTGTCTCATTTCTTTAGTGACTTTTAATTGTATCACTACCATATTTATCTTTTGTTTAGCTCGAGGAATACCAGTTCTCTTGTTATGGTTATTGAATTTTTTAGAGGGTGTTTTCAGCAACTAAGGTTTATTGTTCCCATGAATACCAGTTCTATCTGACTCTATCACTGGAAGAACTTTTTGCTGAGTGGTGCTTAGACACTTTGAGCAAATCACTATTGAGCCCACAGTTATGACTGATGTTAATCCCAGTTTTGATTATAAATTTAAACAACGGTCATAAAGATCAGTGAATTTGATAATTTTGTTTTCGTCTCATTGTCATTATGTAGCTATTGGTAAAAAAAACCATTCATCTATCAGTGCAGTATTAGGAAGCTCTAGTTTGTTAGGTAGTAAGTCAAAGTGAGACATTGACCTTGGGATGGATATACCCTGACAGCACCAACCATCCCTCCACTGATGAAACTCATGTTCTGTTACTGGTCTTCCTCAGTTACTGTTACTTGGATTAGATCTAAGACCTAACTCCTCTTATTCTAGATCTGTATGGACTTCAAATTTCGTTATTCCATTATTTTGTTATATTTACTTTAAAGAGATCACTTGTATATGAGCTCTGATGTTTAAAAAAGTATTAAGTTTCTTCTGTGTCATTAAGGTGTCTTTCTTTCTTGAGCAAGTTAATGTTGGAACATTTGTTAATTTTTGTTTTACCTGCTCCAGCTGCTAAGTTTCCGAACGCTGTTCATGTTAAGTTCACTCTGAAAAGAGAAAAACTGATTTGACAAATATAGTACGTATATGTTTTTATATAAAATACTGTAAGTTCTGTTTTGAGATGATCGGATTATACAGTACTGTAGGTGACCTTAGGATTACAGGTGGTAGTTGGAATCTGCATTGTACAGATGGTCAATTTACTCACCTTATAATAGGGTATATGGTATAAGAATATCTGAAAATTTAGAGGGACTGAATTTGATTTCTTGGATTATGTCAGTGGGTGCAGTGGGAATCTTGATGTTACAGTTCTGTAGTTTAACTTAATTCTTGGGTTATGATCATAAAACTGACTTGAATAGGTGTGGCATCCTTTGTAATGGACCTGTATGTTCGCTTGAATTGGGTAAGAAGGGAGATCCTGGTGGCTGGGGGAGGTAGGCAAGCATTATCTTAAATTAGTTTGACCTCACTACCTGTGTGACGGATTGCTTGTGTGTGTGTGTGTATTGATCTTTCTCGTCACCAGGGAAAATTTTTAACCCTGTCGGATTCTACAATTTTATGTTAATTCTGGGTTGCTTTGAGTCATTAGATACACATGTTTATGTACAGTATGTACACTACATACATACACACATGCATTTACATTCATGCAAATACAAAGCCTACATACAGTATACAGTAGATACACACAAATACTGTATACAGTACAGGATATACTCGACCACAATTGCCTGTGTATTGTATGTGGATTGAGGTATATATACTGTGTGTGTGTGTGTGAGGGAGAATAATTTTTTCTGTGTGTATGCAACTGAGACAACTGAGTATGTTTTATGTGTCTGCAGTTATTTGTGGCTTTGATGATAAGTGAATAACACAGATACTAACACCAAATATTACACTCTTTAACACTGTGGTAGAGGATTTCAGTAGTTATACAGTACTTTACTTTCATAGTTAAATAATTTATGTTACTTTAAGATGTGAAAATTGCAGGAGTAGTTGTTTGCCCTTTTTTATGTTTAAATTTGGGTCCGTTACTTTGCACGCTGAGAAACTTAATAAAGAAAATTATATCGTCAACAATTATGCAATTTGTCACGTGAATATCTCAAGGAAATTATACCCCAAATTATCACTGGACATAATTATCTTACAACCTTATTCCACTTTTAATAACCAGTACTAATGATTGCTGGAGTTTTTCGCTCTTTCCTTTTGAACTCTTGACAGAATTTGCAGCACTGTATCTCACTGTCCCCTGAAGGTATCGACAAGCGATGTTCCCCAGCATGTTTATTTGGATCAATATTTAGAGCACAGAGATATTTTGCCGGCCCAATCACCTTACGTCATAACCCTGGGGTCAGTTGTTTGATATTCAATACTCAATATAGGGTTAAGTTCTCCGAGAGAGCCCCCCCCCCCCTTCCTTCTGCTCGTCTCCTCTCATTTTCTTCTGGGGAGACTGCAGTATACTGTATAAAAGATATATTTTTTTATTAGGGTTGATGTTTGTGTTCTGCCTTAGATAAACAGTAGCTGAAAATACTGTAGAATATAATTGATACTTTGCTATAGAATCTCGATAACAAGTTGGGTCAAAATATAGATGGATTGATAATTGTCAAATGTTTTAATGATTTGATTGATAGATTGAATAAAAAGGTATGGTGAGATAATTGGATATGTACAGTAGTAACTATATATCGTCTATCAGTCCAAAACATGACACACATAGGTAGATAGATAGATAGACAAGATTTACAGAATCATCAGTCAACATACTGTCAGGTCCTTACTGTCCTTACTGTTCAGAGTCAAAGGGATGTATGTACTACTGTATTGTATAAGTGTTGCCGTGTGTGTGTGTGTGTGTGAGCGCGTGTGTGTGTGTGTGTGTGTGTGTGAACTAGACCAAGCAGGAGGAGGAGGAATGCGATGGTTGATTAGCGTGACAGTAGGTGCCATTTGGTGCTGATGGAAGGTACAGTAACAGTGAGTGAGCCTGGCTGAATATTTAGGACATACAGTAGTGTTGATGTGACCTTGACCTACGAGTACAAAAAGTTTTACACCACAACACACACACACACCACACCACAAAATATTTATTTATGTTTAGTAAAATATGACCTACAATACAATACATAAATTACTGGATTGTGCTCAGTCCTTTAAAATATGTCTGGTAAACAAACCTTGAAGAGGGTCATACTATGTTAGGTATGGTGGTGATTGGATGGTAAAGGTGCTCATGTTGGTTTAACTTGAGATAATGTACACTTGTCCTTGAGTAATGCTAATGTACTGTACCTGTGTTGGAATGTCTATACTTGTACCACTGCTTATACTTGTATCTTTATCTGTACTTTACTCACCTTTTACGACACGGCTAAATTATGCATCGTCCTCTTTCTTATTTATGGCGCTCTAGGCAAGCCTATCTCCAATATGTTAGTACCTGTCAGTTATATTGGCACTCATATGGTATTAAGGTTGATAGCATAGGGTGTTTAGTTAGCCTAGTTAATTCTTGAGTACTGCCGGAAACTCACAACTATCTTTTGTTACTCTGCTGGTTTGGCCTAAGCTGTTACTCTGACAATCTCTAGCTAGGTGATGTTTCCTTTTGCGAACTAATGGTTGATATTGATATTTGAGAATCGATCTTGTGGGCGGCTTAAAATCTGATATACTGTAGGGGCCACGTACGAGAAGATAGGTGTTAAATATTTGTTAGGTTGTAGCAGTTAGTGTGGTGGGGAGTTATGGAAATGGACTTGTGAATGGACAAACACGCGAATAATTGAGACATTGCCTGTGTCGGATTTGGAGACGGAGGGATTGTGGTCCAATGTATTGACCAAATAAACAAATAATAACCTAAGAGTGGTGGAGAGGAACACTGGTGGCTTGTGTGTCATGTTTTATCTTGAAGCAAGCATAGGTGTAGGTGAGAGCAAACACATACTTAGCCCATCCTAACCAGTGTGTGGTATGTGACTCCAGGCCCATGTGGCTCACGCCCCGGTAACTTGATGCGTAAATGTTTTTTTAAAATTCATATTTTGTTATATATAATACTCTTTAGATTGTTTAAAATACAAGGTTATGCAGTATCGTTATTATTACACCACTGTTAATATTACTGTGAATAATGGAGAGGCGATAAAGGAAAACGGCAGTATTATAGACAATAGAATAGCCATCATAACACTGCGTCAGAATGAAGTGTCCATAAAATGCATTGTAAGTCTAATGGCAGTTCATAAATGTTGATGCTAAAATTTTTATTGTGTGTATTGATGTATAATCAGGTGCTGCATGCTGACGTGGATTATTGCCTTCTTAGTATGTTCAGTTTTGAAATTCTAGACGTTTACTGCCAGTTACAACCTTCCTAAACTTCTGAAACTATAAAGGCGCTGTTTTAACATAATGGCTCAGAAACCACAAGACTACCAGCACCAACATCAGTCATCTTTTATGGTTCAAATTGCTTCACATATATTTCGTCTTTTTTTTTTTCGTACAATATTTCAATCTTAAGACGTTGCGATGCATTTAATTACCACCTGTGCCATCATATTTATTGAAGATTAACTGTTATTTGCTGTTGCCCCAACTAATATGGTGTTTGAGTCGTGGTTGACGCGTGGCGAACATTGGCACTGCAAAAACATGGCATAAATACATTACTTTAATATTCACTACATTAATTCGATTTTATTGCCTGTTGTCGCGCCGGAGGAGAGTGATGGCGCCCATGGAATAAATAAGCTTGTCAGAAGTCACCACCAGGTAACATGGGGAAGATCCAGTTTACATTATTTATTTCCAAGCAGAGGAGGTGAACCCAGCCAAACTTTAACCCCACCAAAGGTATCCCAGGTTGGTTATGTTATGTTTGGGTGATTCGTGTTCCCTGAAATATAAATTGTTTGGCATTCTAGTTCGTGATATTCTTCCAATACTGTACGCCTTACTGTCGCCACCGCCGCCTCCTTGAGAGAGAGAGAGAGAGTGTGTGTGTGTGTGTGTGTATTGAATATTTGTGTAATATGTTACTGGTGGTCTTGGGCCGTGTGTGTTGGGGGGTGATCAAGGACTCACTGCTACACCTGGTAAAATATTCTAGTGAGATTGTGTGTTACTGGAAGTTTTACCTCAGCACCACAAACCACGACTCTCACCACCAACGACGACTCTCACTACGACCCCCCAACCCTACCCTCTAGGTGGATGGGTGGGAAGACTCACCAAACCCTCCCTCTCTCCTTTCCTCTGGTAACTGATCAAATTGGCCTAAGTCAGAATGAATTGGTTGAAGCCTATTACGAACTGGGGCAAATTTGACCTTCATTCTCCACCTCCCTCCCCCCTTCCCCATAACGCCTGCTGGAGGGGTAGGTAGGGAGGTGGTGGGGGGGGGGGCGATCTACCTACTCATTAATAGGGCGTGACCTGGACGATCTCCCAGTATGGTAATGGCGACACCTGACACCCACCAAACTAATGGCTGCCCAGGGGAGGACGGAGGGGGAAGAGGTGGAAGGAGAATAGGGAAAAGGGAGAGACGGAAGGGGAAGAGGGAAAGGAAGGTGAAGGAGAGAGAGGGGAGTGACTGTGACGAGGTTGGATGGCTGGCGTAAGGGGAAAGGAGTGGGAGGAGAGGGTTATAGGTCCATAAGAGTTTGATGAGGGGAGGGCAGGGAGGAGTGAGAGGGATAGTGGGGTGGTGTAGAGAGAGGATAGAGGTATTGCGAGTGAGGGAGTGAGAGGGAGGGGGTTAGGAGGATGGTGGGGAGGGGTGAGAGGGATGGTGGGGAGGGATGGAAGGGGAGAGGTTGGGACATGGTTGTTAGTGGGGGGGGGGGAGGAAGAGGAGAACCGGAGAGTAAACGAGGCACTTAGTGGATAGTGGAGGTCAAGGATTTACCTGGAGGAGGAGGAGGAGGACTGGTGAGCCCCATTTACGTGTCGTCCACTCAGATTGACATTGATTTTCTTAATTTGCTTTGGCTATTTATTA